GCGATTTCGCATACAATATTGGAGAGGCGCGAAGCGGATACGCTTCTCATGGGTACTCTGGCCGCCAAGCGCGCGCTCGGTCTCTCGCTTCGACCGTCCTTGGCGGAGAGCACAACCTTCTCGCCGGCACGAGGGCTCCGCGCTGGTCGCTCGTCGCCCTGTCTAGGATTTCTAGGCATGCATTCAATGTTTTGTCCAATCAAAAGCAGCGCTGACAACATATTTTGGCCAATCACACAGACCGACAGCCATGTTGACTCTCTCTGATGAAAGCGACGTCAGACTTACTACTGCAATTATTACATAGAGCCACACAATTCAATACACGCACGCTACAAGGGTCTATCAACAGAGTAGAATCCCTTCTTGCTACGAGCCATAGGTGAAGACGCGAGGTAGTTTTGCGAGCGCTGAGATGTCAACGCCATCGACGCGCGTTACGTGCCTCGATAGTTTCAATTCCCATTTTGCGAACCGATGGCCGAGGGAGAGACCACCGTCGTCCGCAACCCGTGGGTCTGTCTTGCGCTCCAAGACTCGGCTTTTTTTCAATGGAGCTCGCCGATCGCCAAGCCGGTGCGGCTGCGGCGCGACAGGTTTCTTCGAGTACGACGACTAGCTTTTATGTACACTATTTACTAGTGATTTTGACATTATGGACAAAGCACTGCAGTCGTATGCGCAGTACACGCCCGAGACGGAGCCCGAGATCGAGCTCGACGCGGTCTTTCCATATGTATTTCGCCATCAAAAACAACGCGCGTCGCGTCTCACGTACGTGGACAGACTAGTCTATATCATTTTTATCGTCCATTTTTACTAACATTTCATGTAGAAAGGTGCGATCCTGTTGTGCATCCCACGAGGCGACCGGATCCCACGAGGCGACCGGATTGTAGGCATCGCTGCCGACCGTATACGACGATGACGCCGACAGCGACGACTCGGACGACGAGAGAGAGCTCACGCCGCACCTCGCGCCGCCTGTCAACGGTACGCATTGATGCCAGTCATTTGATATCAAGGGAGACTAGCCCCCGTGCAACCTCTTCTCGGCCGTCTCGACCTTGCAAGTGTTCTGGGCGCGCTGCCCAAAGCCGTACTATTTGAGCGTCCAGCTCGAGGGAATCGGGGCCTCATGGCGTCTCGTAGCACTGCATGAGCGCCGACTTGCGTCGCCGTCTCGCCGTGTACTTTTGTGGCCACCCCCATGTTGAACCTGTGGTTCAGCTCATCGAATCCGGGTCCATCGAGGTGCGTTCACAACAACTGACTAGCACCCCATCAACATCACCTAGGCGCAACTCGGGTTTCTCTGCGACCTCTTTCACTTGACTCGACCGTCCTCATTTGACGCGCCACCCGCCTGCGACTTGGTGCGCTTCCGGCGGTGGACGCCCGTGCTGCGGACGCAAAAACGCATTTGCTTTCAGCTGCAGACGTCGCGGCCCCGTGTCCGCAACATTGACGTCTTGCAACAGCTTCTCTCGGCCGGCATGTACCTCGTCCAGCGCCACTGCCGCCTCCCGCTCGACACCGCGCCGTCACGTACGTTCCGAGTGCCTTTGAAACGACACACATGTACAAGATGGCATTTGCTAGTGGGCCATGTGTGCCTCCTGCTGAAGGAAACGCGCATGCTGTATGTGAAAAAGGTGATTCCGGAAGCCGATTTTGTGCTGCTGCTCCGCCAAGTGTTTCATCACGGCATCTTTATCTGGCCCAAAGAGCTCCCACGCAAACTCGCGACGACCGCGACGACGCCCGACCCGATTGCAGTCTACTTGGCTTCGCAAAACAACAGTCTCTAGTCCTACAGTAAAATATGTCAAATATATGCTTTTTATGCAAGAGACGTCGTGTAGGCGTGAGAGTTTAGCCCGTCACAGCATGGAGACGTGAATATGGTCGGATGCCGTCGCAGGGAGCGAATGACCTATGGAATAAAATACGTTGTATTGTCTTGCTCATGTCGGACAACTCGCGACATTGGCTAAGTTCACGCTATTATCTATTAGTCAAAATGTGAAAGGTTTTAAACATATGGTGTTTTATACAGTGGAAACCACCGCCCATGTGTTTTAAACAGGTTTGCATTTCACAACCCAAGACAGTGACACAAAGCATGGCCGACGCTGCGGTCGACGGACGCCATGCCCGCCACTCGCCTCATGCTGCTCGTAGACCGCCGAGCTTCTCCGCGCGATCGCTGCAGGCAGCTTGCCACGCGTCCGCGCTGCCCTGGCCGCCGGCGCCGACGTCAACGCCCGCGACGAGGTCCACGCGTCTCCCTTCGTCGACGCGCCTCATGGCTACTGGTGCGTAGGACGATGCGACGCCGCTGGACATGGCGTGCGAGAACGACCGCAGCGATATGGTCACATGCTTGCTCATGCACCCGCGCATCGACGTGGCCAAGGTACATGACCTCTCTCTTCCATCGACGCTCATGGCTCTTCATGCAGGCGCGGGCCTCGCTCTTGGTGGAAGTTTGCCGACGTGGCGCGGGCGCTTTGGTCGCGCAGCTCCTCGCCCATCCCACGACGGACCCCATGACGCGTCTGGAGGTAGGTTGCATGCGTCTGTTTGTCGTGTTGACGGCCGATGGACTGGATGCTAGTACGGCTCGAATGTGCTCGTCGAGCTCTGCTCGGCGGGCGGTACGAGCGCCATGCTGTCGCGGTTCATGGGGCACCCGCGCGTCGATATCAACGCATCAGTTGACGTGCGGTCGCTCTATAACGCCGAATGCGTCGAGGTATGCCGTCTTGTGAGAAGGGTTAGGGGTATGATCGATGCGGGCTAGGCCGTGACACCGCTTCGGCGCGCCGTGGAAGGCCACTTCTGGGACAACGTCGCAGTGCTGCTGCAGGACCCGCGCCTCGACGTCAACGCCATGCTCGTACTACTCCTTCCTCTCACTTTATGCCTTGAACGAACTGGAGTAGGGCAACAGGACGCTTCTATATCATGCGTGCGTCGCCGACAAGGTCGATCTCGTGTCGGACCTACTGCGTCGACCTGGTATCGACCGCAGTGCTATGGCCGCGGTACCCGTCGTTCCATCATTGCTATTTGTTGAACTTGGGCTCATTAGAGTCAAGGGACTGCATTTGCCGCGGCTGTGCGCGCCGGCAACACATTGCTGATCGAGCTCTTTCTGAGTCTTCCGCACGACGATGTGAACAGCGGTTCACATGTACGTCGTCGTACTCGACGACAATGTTGTCCACAAGGTTATGCTACAGGGCAAAACGCCGCTTGTACTAGCGATGCAGCGAGAGCATCCCAACATTGCGCAGCGACTGGTTCTCGAACCGCACGTGGACCGTCATGCGACCGACAAGGTAATCGCTCTCTGACCACCTCGTGTCTCACACTACACTATACATGACGATAGAATGGGAATACGGTGCTGCACCTGGCCTGCGTCAAGGGCTGGGCAACCCTTGCCGAAACCCTTTTAATGTCGTTGGACGTGCATCAGCGCAATCATGTACTTGGCCGCATCTATCCCGTCGACGTTCATGTCGAAGCTAGAACGGCTTGACACCGGCGAGCATGGCCTTTCAAGCCCGCCATTTTGACCTCGCATTGCACCTCTACCGCAAGTACAAGGCCGACGCCAACGTTGTCATGGTCGCCCTCGGCTGCTCGCATCGATATGAGGCTCACGGTCGGTGTAGGGTACTGGCATGACACCGCTCCAGTGGGCCTGTCACGACGGCCGATACGAAGTGATTCAGGCGCTCTTGGCGCTGCCACTGCACGATCGTGCAGCGCAGGACAAGTTGTCGCGCTCCATTGTGGACACCTTGTCTTCTACGACGCTGCGACTAGAAAAGCAACTCGGCGCTCATGTTGGCGTGCCGCGGCCCGCCGTTTTCGATGCCGTTCCGCGACATTTCGGATAACGAGGTAGCGCACCGCAACTCGGTACGTGTAGACTAGAACGTGTCGCATAGTCCAAGGATACGAATAGTTGGGCCATACGCTCGTCCATGTCGCCTGCGCGTACGGTCAAGTGTCGGTCGTCGCGGCGCTTCTGCCGTACATCAAACAAGGCAGCATCAACGCACGCGACAATGTGTGTTGTGCTCAAGTTGCACGACTATAGAACGTAACCTTTTGGGTGGTAGGACGGCAACACTCCTCTCCACCTCGCTGTCAACCACGAAGCTGTCGTGACGCAGCTTCTCGCTGTGCCCGAGGTTGATCTCAAGCGCACCAACAAGGTACCAACGACTGCAATCATGCGCGTCCTGACAGGCTCAGTACAGTTGGGTCGGACGGTGCTGCACGTTGCGTGCGCGAGTGGGCAAGGGTCGGTCGTCGCACTGCTGCTTCGTGCCGGCGCCACAATCCAAGCTGTCGACCGCGTACATAGTCGTATTCGACCGAGAAGAGTCTCAGGATGCCCGTCATAGGAAGGCAACACACCACTGATGCTGGCTTGTACGCACAACCACGTCGCGGTCGTGATGCAGCTGTTGTCACAACCGCCCCTTGCCGACGAGACGCTGAAAATGGTACTAAATTTCTAGATGCTTGCCTTCTCCAAATCTACATCTGGTTGTGATTTCTGGTGTAGCAGGATGGTCGGAGCGCGCTCCATGTGGCTGCCCGCGCTGGGCATGTACGCCTTCTCCGATGGCTGCTCGAATCGACGACCACCGATGTCAATGGCTGCAGTGCGGTATGCTTCCGGAACAAAGTCGCGGGCATGTGATGCATCGAGTATACACGGTAGACGGGTACGACTGCCCTCATGGAGGCTGTCGACCACCGCAAACCTGGCGTCGTGACCTACCTCCTGCGACATTCCGCCGTTCATGTCAACGCGACAGATAGCGTCAGTAGCTCTTGTCTGGAGTCGTGTTGACGTGTTGGTAGGACGGCAACACGGCTTTGATGCGGCTTTGCATGCGCGCCGACTATGATATACTCGAGATTCTTCTCAGCCATCCGGCCATCGACATCAACCGGCGCAACCACGTACTCGTGTGCCTCCGCAACCAACTAAAATCATTTGTGGTGTAGGCGAGGGCGACCGCTTTTGCGCTGGCGTGCCATGCGAACGACCCGATGCTGGCGGCGCAGCTCATGCAGCTGCCCCAACTGGAC